AGCAGCATCTCGCCCGAGAACAGGCAAGGTCCGTGCGGCCTCCCTCCTGCACAGCTCCCTCCCGGGCGCCCGGCGCAGCCCCTGGGTCTGTGGTCCCGTCCCCTTTCCTGTCCCCGACCAGCCCTCCCTCCACCCAGGCAGCCCCTAGGGACCTTCGGCCTGGGCCTCCGACAGGAGATGGGAGGAAGGGCCGGCCCTTGGCCAAGGCGGCTGGAGGAGGGGGCGGTGGGAGAGGGGTGTGGGGAGGGAGGGGGGCTGTGGAGGTTTGAAGATGCCTGGGGGAAGGGGGACAGCCTGCCGCTGTGCAGACGCCCTGTGGGGAGTCGGCTTCAGGGGCCGCACCTTGGCGGCCGTGTGACCTTGCAGAGCACCCCTCCCCCTGCCACAGGAGGTGGAGGAGGGTGCCCTGTCTCCCTCGGAAGGTCAGCAAACAGGCCTGGGCCCTGGGGAAGGCAGAGCCCGGTGCTGACCCCATGGGGCGCCTTGCACAGGCCATGGCAGCAGGCCTCCCCCCCCCCCCTTTCTGAGGAGGAATCTCGGGGTGCTGACGCTGCCCTGGCCTGTGGTCTGTCCTCCGAGGCGGAGCCCTGCCCTCGGTGGCTGTGTGGCCGGCCCCCCAGAGCGCGGACTCCACCGCGGCCCCGGTTCGCTCAGCGCCCTCTCTTGCAGCCTCCCTGCAGCTATGGCGGTGCCGCCTGGGCCGGGTGACCTGCTCCATGGCCAACTGCCTGCTCCTCATGAAGGTGCGTGGGGCTGGGCTCGGCGGAACAGCTCGGGGCCACAGGCTGCGGCCTCCGTCAAATTCCGTGTAATTGTTAAACGGGGTCACACTGTGCCCCCACTCGGTCCCCGCGGCCCTGCTCCCCAGGACAGGACTCGGGGCGGGGATGGGGGCCTTTGTCTCCTCCAGTGCCTCCCCCCCCCCCTCCCCGAGCAGCCCTGCAGCTCACACGCCTGTCCTGGGGCCTCACGCCTGCCCCAGGGTGACCTCTCCGGCCGCTGCCGCTGAGGGAGCTGCTGCAGGAAGCAGCCAGCCACAGGCAGCAGCCTCGGCCCACACCTGCTCCCCGATGAGAGATGGGGGCTCCCCCGGCCCCGAGGGTCACTCTGGGCTGCAATGGCAGGCAGGTCACGGGGTGGAGGAGCGTGACCGTGGGCTCCTCCTGCGGGCGGCCGTGCCATGGGCCATGGACCCTCGTGTGGGCGTGGGGAGGGCTGGAGCAGGGGTAAGTTCAGAGCCGCAGCCGCTCATCACTCGTCACAGAGGTGTGGCCGGACCTGCTGGAGGAGCCAGCACGGCGGTCCCGGTGCCAGCGCCACCTTCTGTGCCCTTAGTGTAGGCCCTGGTGCAGAGTGCCCTGCACAGCCCTCCCGCCCTGCCTCCCAGCCCAGCACGGTGGTGAGGACGGGAGGGGGTGAGGGTGAGGAGCGCTATTGCTCACAGCGATTCATTCCCCTTCGGGCTCACGTCCTCCGTCCTGTCCCTGTCCCCTCCCCTCAGCCGCACCTTCCCTGGGGCCCGTGTGGGCAGCAGGGAGATGTGCCCCGAGTCCCCAGCCTCTGCGGTGACCAGCTGCTCCCCGAGGCTGTGGCCCTGCCCCTCCTCCCTCACAGGCCCCTCCCCCCACTGCCCCTCAGCCAGCCCTGCGGCCCTCACAGGCAGACCCCGCACTCGTGTGGCCAACCCCTCCGGAGGGAGGTCAGCTGGTCCAAAACTCGCGGCTTTTCTGCATTTTTAAGACACAAACAGAAAATTATGGGATGGACATGCTTTTCTTTGTTGTATTGTCATACCTCTAGGCACCAAGCATGTCTTCTGCCTGCATGTAGGTAGCATGTAGAGGATGTCTGCACAGAACACGTTACTGTTTCAAAAATGCTTTTACGGTGAATGCATTGAACTTGAAATTTTAGATTACTCTTTCATTTGAGTTTAAAAAGAAAATGGTTGCAGTGAAGGCCACTCAAGCTTGTGCTGTTTCCACCTAGTGGCCGCGCCCAGCACCGCAGGCCTGTGGTCTTGCTCTGGTGTCACATTAATTAAATTACGTGTCTGGGCTAACAGTGGGTTATTTAATCAGCCGTTTAATTATTTTGAATAACGTTTCTATTACAGGGGAGTAAATACTGATGAACTTTTTAACGATGAGGAATGTTTTCATGTCTGCATAATGCCCTCGGCACAGCCACACGTGTCCCAGAGCCGGGACAGGCCTGCTCTCACTGCATTGTATCTTATTTTTATTTTATTATCATTTTTGCCCTTCCCTGAGGATACGTTTATTGATTTGAGAGGGAGAAACATCAATGTGAGAGGAAAATCGTTCGGTTGCCTCCCAGGGATGCGACCCACAGCCTTTTGGTGCACCTACTGAGCCACCCGGCCAGCGCTCACCTCTCACTTTGTTGTTTGTTAATCCTCGTCTGAAAGTATTTTTCCATTGTGTGGAGGGAGGGAGGGAAGAAAGAGGGGGAGGGAGACATCAGTGTGCCAGGGGCACAGTAATTGGTTGCCTCCCGACCTGGATGGTGCATGCCCTGACGGGAAATCTAACCTGAGAGCTTTCCGTGCTCAGGCCAACGCTCTAACCACTGAGCTCACCAGCCAGGGCTCACCTCACTCTCAGTGTCACTGTCTCTCCTGAGGTTCCAGAGGCTGCAGGAGTCCTCTGCCCTGCAGGCGGGCAAGGCGGGCGCGCCCTGAGTAGGCTCCTGCCACGCGTGTCCCTGTGTCCTCACACGGGGTCTGCGCCTGACAGCCGCTCTCCCGCAGGACTACGTGCTGGCTGTGGATGCCTACCGCTCTGTCGTCCAGTTCCACCCCGAGCAGGAGCCGCAGCTGCTCAGCGGCATCGGCCGCATCTTCCTCCAGGTGGGCGCTGTGGGAAGGCGGGGGCCGGCTCACTGACCACCGGGACTGGGCCGCCGGGGAGAAGCGAGGGTCAGCTCGGGGACAGAACTGGCGGGGCCAGCGGGCGGGAGTGGCTGTCATTTCCTGGTCACACCGGGCTGCTGCCTGGCGCCAGCCTGTGAGTCTCCGTTTCACTCCGCTGTGTGGCGGCGCTGCCATGCGGGGTTCTCGGAAAGCACAGGCTGCACGCCGCGTCTAACGGGCCCGCGCGCTGCACCCACACGTCTGGCAGTCTGAACAGGAAGTGACGCCAGGCCGGTGGTCAGAGCCCTGCTTGGCACCATCGTCTCTGTGACGTGACCCCAGGTGAGCGGGCGCCTGAGCTGTGACTGTCTGAGCAGATCGGAGACATTAAGACGGCCGAGAAGTACTTCCAGGACGTGGAGAGGGTGACGCAGAGGCTGGACGGGCCGCAGGGCAAGACGATGGTGCTGATGAACAGGTAGCGAGCTCACGCCGAACATGTCCTGCCAAGGTGTCCCACCGAGTGTCCGCAGCTCCGGGCGCACAGCCCTCTGGGATCGCGAATTCCTGGCCGCTGTCCCAGGCCGTTTGTGGCAGGAAGTGTAGGCGCAGTGCCGAGTCTGGATCAATAACCTTAGGGGCCCCCCCCCCCTCCGTTTTTTTATGAAAAAGATTATTTAGAAAGTCACAAAGGGGGCCTTGGAGTGGAGGAGGAGGAGGTGAAGGTAATGACCGCCCGGCGAGGAGGGAGGGAGAGGCTGTGCTCCCGGCCCCTTAACTCCAGTCCGGAGTGCGAGCTGCGGGCCAGCCAGCGGCACTCACGCCCGCTGAGGGCACCGTCCCCGGCGCTCGGGGCCCAGTGAGGGCGAACATCGCAGGAGCCTCTGCCCTGGAGGCTGAGGCTTCCCTGTCGCTTGTCCCAGAGCGTTCCTCCACCTCGGTCAGAATAACTTCGCCGAAGCCCACAAGTTCTTCACGGAGACCTTAAGGATTGACCCCACAAATGCAGTGGTAAGGCGCTTCGGCAGATGTGTCACACCTGTGGCCCCGTCCCGCCCTCTGGCCCGGGCGGTGACCATGGGGGTGGGGCCCGGGCACAGCCCCAGCCCTGACGCCCCGTCCTCCGAGGGGGTGGGGCCCGGGCACAGCCCCAGCCCTGACGCCCCGTCCTCCGAGGGGGTGGGGGGCCCGGGCACAGCGCGGCCCTGACCCCCCCGTCCTCCGAGGGGGTGGGGGCCCGGGCACAGCCCCAGCCCTGACGCCCCGTCCTCCGAGGGGGTGGGGCCCGGGCACAGCCCCAGCCCTGACGCCCCGTCCTCCGAGGGGGTGGGGGGCCCAGGCACAGCGCGTCCCTGACCCCCCCGTCCTCCGAGGGGGTGGGGGGCCCGGGCACAGCGCGGCCCTGACCCCGTCCATCCTCCGAGGGGGTGGGGGGCCCGGGCATAGCGCGGTCCTGACCCCTCGTCCTCCAGGCCAACAACAACGCGGCCGTGTGCCTGCTGTACCTGGGCCGGCTCAAGGACTCGCTGCGGCAGCTGGAGGCCCTGGTGCAGCGGGAGCCCGGGCACTGCCTGCACGAGAGCGTGCTCTTCAACCTGACCACCATGTACGAGCTGGAGTCCTCCCGCAGCCCGCAGAAGAAGCAGGCGCTGCTCGAGGCGGTGGCCGGCCGCGAGGGCGACAGCTTCAACACGCAGTGCCTCAAGCTGGCCTAGCCCGCGCCGCCCGGCTCCCGGGCACTACGCCGGGAGCTGCCCTGGGCGGGGTCGGCAGGCCCGTGAGGCCTGTGGACTGGGGCCGAGCGCGCCCCCGTCCCGGCCGAGGCCAGGTGTTGGGCAGTCGTTCAGCGGCAGCCCTGCACCGCCGTGGGCTCCTCGGTGAGCGTGTTGTGGGCGGTGCAGAGTCTGCAGGACACTCGGGTCCTCGAGCTTCTTTCTCCTGGAAGCTGGGCCGCTCGGTGTTAGTTCTGAATGTCCTCAGGGGAAAGCAGGAAGAGTAATATAAACCGTTCCCAGCACCTGGGCGTCAGCGTTTGTAACTGGTGGGACCACACCCCGTCTTCCTGCCCCAGAGGGACTCGCCGTCCGCTCACCGGCTTCTTGCTAGCCCAAGCATGAAATCAGACAGCTACATATTTATTTTTATTGATGAGAGACATGTCCAGTTCCCCTTACTGATGAGGTCATTGGCAGAGGCTTGTACGAACCCACAGCCTTGGTGTATTGGGACATGAGGCACTGGCCAGGACAAGGCAGCTGCTTTATTTATTTTAAACAAGAAAGTGGTATGAGCTCCCCTCATGAGGGCCGCCCAGCTCCCCTCCGGTGTGGGACAAGAGCCCGGTCACTGCGCACAGTCTGCACCGAGTCTGGCAGCAGGTCCGTCGGACGGCCAGGCAGGGACACGGCACAGGGCTCCAGGAGAGTGGGTGGCGCCCGCCCACACTGGCTTCTACATGAAAATCAGGCTTACGGCTCCTGATCAGACACCCTCCCCGAGGGGAGGACACAGTAAGTTTCCTGCCGCTGTCACGAGCAGGGCGGCCGGGCGAGGGGTGCGCTGGCCCAGGGCGCCGCTATGCGCTCTGCGCCAGGAACGCCAGGTACTGGCCCCGAGCCTCCAAGTGGTCCGCCGGCCGGTTGTGCGCCGTCCACTCCGGTTCTCCCACGAACAGCCGCATGGCCTTCACGTAGTCCTGGGGGAAGCACAGCCGGTCAGAGCGGCCGCCGGGCCTCTGCCTGCCCGGCCCAGCCTGTCGCCGCGTCCCACCTGCTCGTCCAGCGTGAAGCGGTGGTAGATCCCCGCGGGGAGGGTGATCATGTCTCCCTTCGCCACGGCGATGCGGATCCACCGGTCCTCCGCGTCCCGCACGTCGAAGTAGCCGCTGCCGTCCAGCACGTAGCGGATCTCCTCGTCCCCGTGCAGGTGCTCCGTGTAGAACATCTCGAGCTGCGGGAGCGACAAGCCTCAGTGTCGGCTGGAGAGGGCGGGACTCTCCCCGGAGACCGGGCCTCAGCGAGCGGGCGGGGAGCTAGGCTGGTTCCCAGTCCTCCCCACGGCCAGCACCGCGCGCCAGGCAGAGCCCGCCTGGGTGTCTGTGGCCCCCGCCCCGTCGACAGGCAGGAAATGGGGCACAGAGGCGAGTCGCTGGCCCGACAGCCTGCATGTCAGAGCCAACTCGCAGACAGCCTGGTTCCTGCTCCTAACCCAGCACACACGGCAGTTAGGCGGTCCTGCAGTCGTATGATCACAGGCACACATGCTCACGCTGGAAGGTCAGAAGCCACATGAAAATCTGTTAGAAGTAATCATCACCTTAATTTCTATTTGTTAAAGTCCACTCTTCTCTTTCCCCAATATCAATAAAAAATTCAAATAAGTCTAAGCTAAAAGTTTTAAAAACTGAAGATAAAAATGGTAGGAGCTCCGGGTGGGGAGGGAGTCCAATGCGTCCCCTCCAAGCAGCCAGGGCCTTGCCTTCTCCTCGTAGTCCGGCAGCTTCTCTCTGCTGAGGGTGACGATGTCCATCCAGGAGTAGTGTCTCTCCTTGCGGATCTTCTCCAGCTCGGGGTCACTCTCGTGTCTGTCAGGGTCCAGCTAACGGGTGGACAGGAAAGGAGGCCACGTGGGAGGCACAGCATCCCTGGCCCCCCCACGGCAGGCACTCTGCTCGTCTCCAGACCGGCCAGGCCGGTCAACCCCAACCAACCTCCCACCTCAGTGACTCTCCCCGACTGAACAGAACGCAGCTGCGTTAATCCCTGCCTCCCAGTCCTTCCTGGGTTCCTCTCCACACCTGGGTCCCACTGCCAGGGGCTTCGGGAACACTCGCGAACTCAGGTCTATCTACACCCTCGTCCCCCTGCCAGCCTCCACTCCGAAGCCCCACTGAGCCCATGGCCGGTCTGTTCCCGATCAGAGTGCCTGCCGCCTCCGCCCACAGCTACGGTCCCAGCACCAGGCTGCCGCACTGTGGGCCTCTGCCATCCAGCAGGTGCCTTTCTCCTCTCTCCTATTAAAAAAATACCAGCCCAGCCCCTGTCGCTCAGGGCCTGAGCTTCAACCTATGAACCAGGAGGTCAGAGTGGATTCCGGTCAGGGCACAGGCCCAGGTTTTGGGCTCGATTTCAGTGGGGGTGGGGGTGGGGGAGGCTTTGCAGGAGGCAGCCAATCATTGATGTTTCTGTCTCTCCCTCTCTGAAACTGACTTTTAAAAAAGAAAAAAACTACATTGTAAACCAGAGGGGTATTTGCTGTTCTTCAATAATTCTCGATGCTTCGCCTAGCACAGTGGTCGGCAAACTGCGACTCTAGAGCCACATGCGGCTCTTTGGCCCCTTGAGTGCGGCTCTTCCACAAAACACCACATGCGGGCGTGCACGTGCAGTGCGATTGAAACTTGGTGGCCCATGTGCAGAAGCTGGTTTTTGGCTCTCCAAAGAAATTTCAATCGTCGTACTATTGGTTTTTGGCTCTTTGACTAATGAGTTTGCCGACCACTGGCCTAGCAGCCCTGGCACCTGGCCGCTTCCTCCACCACCTGGAACGCTTCGCCCTTCATCTCCCCCTGTGCTCTCTAAGGTCCGGGCTTACCGTCACTCCCCTCGGGAGCCAGCCGAGTTCGTCTGAACTAACGAAGACCAAGGGCAGTGCATGTGGCGTGCTGGCCTTGAACGGTCATTAAACTCACATTGTACCGTGAGAACTGAACAGCAAACTCCCAAGTTAGCGGACCCGCCCGCCGTGTGCGCGCGAGGACAATCTAGCTTCATGCTGCGTGACCCACGAGCAAGCATGCACGCATGCTGCCTCTGTGCCCCTGACAAGAGCGCCATTGGTAAGAGCACGTGTAATGAGCACACAGGGCGCTCGGAGCACCCAGCAAGCATCACTGAGTCCGGGTGGCCTCTGGACCCGCCGTGCCTCTCCCACAGGGGAGAAGGGAGAGGTGAGGGTTTGACTGACCCTTATCTCACCCTGCGCTCCCCTGCAGGCTGACAGCATCTCATTCTTCCTCTTAAACACCAAGGCACAGGCGGCAAGGCCCGCAGTCATGCGGCCCTTAGGGTGCGTTAGGTTGTGGCTGCCTTAACTTTATCAGAAAACAAAACTTATTTCTCTGCCACCACAGCCTTTAAACCCTGTCACTGCTTTGCATGTTAAATCTTAGCCCAGGAAGATAAACACCATGTAAAAATCAACAAACACACACAAGACACAGTTTGAATTCCAGAACTCGGGCCTCCTAGCCATGGGACAGCCTGGGCCCACGCCCCCTCCCCGCTGACCCATATCCCCGCCGGCGCGGTGCCCCCCAGCCCGTCCCAGCCTGCACCGCAGTCCCGGCGGAGCTGGGAACAGGGGGGCATGAGACCTCTCCTTGGGCCCGCCGGCAGCTGCTGCTGCTGCTGAGCGTGCGCAGCGCCCCCAGCGCCCACCACCCGCCTCGCTGCGGAGCCTGCGCAGCGCGCTCAGGCGGCCGACCACCCGGCCTCGCTACTGAGCGTGCGCAGTGCCGGGTCCGTCCAGGCCGCGGTCCCGAATTCGGCGGCGCGGGAGACTAAGGGACTCGCCCGCCGCCCGCCGCCCGCCGCCCGCCGCCCGCCGCCCGCCGCCCGCCGCCCGCACCTTCCAGTACAGGATCCCGAGGCGGCGCAACTGCTCCAGGCCCACCGGGCGGGCGGGCTCGGCGCGGTTCGGGCGGCGGGGGTCGGCGGAGGAGGCGTCCAGGTACCAGGCCTGCACCATGGCGGCGGCGGAGTGCGGAGCGCGGGCGGGCGGCGGGCGGCGGGCGGCGGGCGGCGGGCGGCGGGCGGCGGCGGAGTGCGGAGCGCGGAGCGCGGAGCGCGGAGGGCGGCGGGCGGCGGGCGGAGGGCGGAGGGCGCGGGCGGGGCTGCGCGCGGAGGCCGGCGGGGCGGGGGCGGGGGCGGGCCCGGGCCTGCGGTTGGCTGCAGCCAACCGTGCCCTGCGGGGCCTCCGCCCGGATCTCACCGCGGGCCCGAGGCCTGAGATCGGACGGCGGTTTTGTTAATCCGCTCAGGCCCGTTCCCGTGGTTCCTGCGGTTCCTGCCTTGGACCCGGTCCTTTTACCTAGAACGTGTCCTCCGAAATCACAGAACATCCCGGCCTGCGAACCAGCAGGCCACAGCTCCATCATTGATGTGTCTTTCCTTTTTAAAATTGTTTTTAATTGATTTCAGAGAGAGAAACACTGATGAGAATCACAGATCGGCGCCTCCTGCACGCCCCTCCACTGCGGATGGAGCCCACACCCCGACCTGGTTCATAGGTCAACGCTAACCACTGAGCAACACTGGCCGCCCATCATTGATGTTTCTCCTTCCCGTACTCTCTGAAATCAATAAAAATATATTTTAAAAAGAACAAAACGAAACAAAAACACACACAAAAAGAGCGTTCAGAAGGTCGAAGAGACGGAACCAACAGAGTGGGTTGAAGGGGAGGGAGAAGGAGGGAGAACAGGGCACCGGACTCCCATTGGGCCGCCAGGTCCTGAGGCCGCTGTGGGCGCGGCTGCTGGGTCACTGCCGGGTGAGGTCCTGCGTGGGAGCCCAAGGGGCTCAGGGCAGGTCCAGGAGAGGCGGCTGGAGGCACAGGTGGGGGCTGAAAGCCACCTGGCTATGTGGACAGAGCTCAGGGCACCCCAACACTGTGTCACCCGGGAGATGAGCCAGAAGAGGCGCTGGGCAGGCTCCCCAAGAGTGGAAGGAAAAACAAAAATAAAACGGGTCTGGAACATCACTTCTTATGCAGGCGCCTCGGCGTGGCTTCCAGCTGCCACGCCGTCCATGCTGCTGTGCCCCCTCCCCCTTAACCCTGTCTGCGGTTCAGGAAGCCCTCCGGCTGTTGGCTCCAGTGCTGTGCTTAGACCAGGCTCCCCCCCGTGCTGCGATCCCTGAGTCAGTGCGGCCAGAGGGTGGTACCTGCAGGCTGAGCTGGGACAGATGGGCGTGTCTTAGTTCTATTCGTTAGAAACACTCAGAGCACGGGGACCCCTGGCCCTGAGGTGTTCGTGGAGGCATGTGCTGTGCCCCCCTCGCAGTGCCCTCTCCCCCAGCCGGTCGGCTCTGCCTCCCCAGTGGCCACCCAGGACCTCGCTCCCAGAGACCCAGCGGGTAGACGGCACTCTGGCTGGCCGCCTGGACTCCTGTGGGGCTGGCGTTTCAGAATTTTTACTGACTTTAGAGAGAGAAGTTGTTCCACTTATTTATGCATTCATTGCTTCCTCCGTGTGTGTGTGTGCCCTCACCCGAGACGGAACTGGCAGCCTTGGCGTGCGGGGATGACTAGCCCACTGAGCTCCCGGCCAGGGCCTCGGGAGCTTTTGAAAAGAAAACAGGTCTTTGTTTGCCTGAGCAGCTCGGATTCCTGCCACCCGCCACTGCAGTGCCAGCTGATAACAAAGGTGAGAGCGGGGTGAACTCTAACCCCTTGGGTTCAGCAGCTGGCGCCTGGGCCCACACCCTGCAGTGTCCCCTGGGAGGAAGGGAGAGAGAAACATCTAGAGAAAGAACCATCGCCGGCAGCCGCCTGCACAGCCCCTGGCAGGTGCTCTGACCAGGGTTTTCTGTGAAGTCAGGCAGGTGTCCTGACTCGGGGTCAGCAGTGAGGGCCGCGGGTGACCATCCAGCACAGCACAGTCCTGGCCCTCCGCCCTGTACAGCTGGCCAGCTCCCTAAGCACGTCAACGGCAGGAGACTGGCTTGGTGAGGCTGTGCAGAGCCGTCTGACCGTCCCTGAAACCATTCCTTTGTGTCTGAAAAATCCCAGTGTCATTTTTTTTTTAAATATATTTTATTGATTTTACACAGAGAGGAATTGAGAGGGACAGAGAGTTAGAAACGGCGAGAGAGAAACATCGACCAGCTGCCTCTTGCACACACCCCCACCGGGGATGTGCCCGCAACCAAGGTACATGCCCTTGACCGGAATCGAACCCGGGACCTTTCAGTCCGCAGGCCGACGCTCTATCCACTGAGCCACACCGGTCCCAGCGCAGTGTCATTCTAATGAAAAGGCATTTCGAATGGAGAAATAACGTCCTGCTGGGGTGGCTCAGTGGGTGAGCATTGTCCTCTGCCCGCGGTTGAAAACTGCAGCTCTTAAGCCACACGTGGCTCTTCCAAAAAATACCACGGCCTGGGTGAGTCTGTTTCGAAGAAGTGGCGTTAGAAGTTTAAAAACTTGGCTCTCAAAAGAAATGTCAGTGGTTGTACTGTTGATATTTGCCTCTGTGGATGAATGAGTTTGCCAACCACTGTCCTATGCAACCGCTCAGGGCACACGCCCAGGGTTGTGGGCTCAGCCAAGGCAGAGGGGAAGAACGTATCAATCTTTGCAAACAGCTGAAGTTTGCTCAGGATTTCCAGAGGCACAAGAGGCGGGTCTCCAAAACAAGGAGCTTCAGCTGTTCCTGACAAGCTGGTCTGGCTGCTCCGGAGTTCCCAGGCTTCTCTGCGCGTAACACCTGTGCTGGGCGGGAAGCAGGAACAGACTCAAACCTTCTTAGGAATGAAACCCCGCAAGGATGTGTGAGATGCTGAAAGCTGCGCTAAAAGATCGCCTTTCAGAAAGCAAATCCGTCCGATGAAAAGCAAACTTGTAGGGACACGACAAGCCCCACCAGGTGAGGCGAGGAGCACTTGTCACCCGGCCAGGGCCCGCGAGAGGGCGGGGCAGGGCCTGGCCGGGCACCGGGCAGACCACATACGTAGCACCTCACCACCATGTAGGGGTAGTTACAACTTAAAAACATCTTTAAATGTGTTTTATTGGTTTTAGAGAGGGTGAGGGAGAGAGAAACATCACTTGGTTGCCTCCCATACACCCACCCCCCGCCCCCGGAGTTGGAACCCGTAACCTGGGTGTGTGCCCGGGTTGGGAACTGAACCTGCGGCCTTTCAGTGAACAGGGTGAAGCTCAGACCATCGAGCCACACGGGGCAGTTACAGCTCTGAAGATCAAGGCGTGCAAGTTTTAAAATGTCTTCGGCATTTCTCAATAAAAGCACTGTGCACCTTTTAAAAAGTGTTTGACATGATCGTTTATTTTTATCTTTTACCATAGAAACACAGAAAATGACACAAAACAAACACATCACTCATTGACTTACGGATACGCCAGTACCCTCACCCGGGTCAGGATCGGAACTTCGGCAGACACCCCCGCCCCCCAGGCGTCCCTCCTTCCCTTCCTCTCTCCCTCCCTGCGAATGAACCCCAGCTCCACAGAAACGGCTTCCGGCGTCTGTGCGGCACCCGGCGGTCCTTTCCTAACCGTGGCCTCTCCAGGGTCTGCTTACAGCCCCCCAGCTCTCCTTACGGCCGCGAGGTGACGCCCGGCCGATGTCCTCGTGTCCTACAGTCAGAGCTGGTGGCCACACTTTCCCCTGCCCTCATGCTCTCTCAGGTAGCAGCCAGACCGAGGCCAGAGGATCGAACTCACAACCCTTTGGTTTGAGGGCTGAGGCTCTAAGCACGGAGCAGCGGGCCAGGGCGGCTGGGTGCTTTTAGAAGTTGCCGCACTATTTTTATGGCACGTGTGTGTGTCCTTGGCCTTCATGCAGACTGACCCCTCCACCAGCCCACGCTGCTCCTGGCCAGGAGCCCACCTCTGTCCCCTGGACATCACAAGGGTCTCCAGCGGGTTTCCGTGCCTCCATCCTGCCCCCCGCAGGCTGTTATCCGTGCAGAAGCCCAGCTCCCATCACAGCCTGTGGCTCCCAGTGCCTACCCTGCTTGGCACTTTTCCTGCAGGTGCTGGGGGCCCCTTGCCGCCCGTATCTTGTCAGCCCAGATGCATTTAACATCCGGCTTTCCTGGCCACACCGGCAATGCGGTTCTCTTCCTGTCCCCTCCCAGCTCTCGCTCTCGCTCTCGCTCTCGCTCTCCCTCCCCCTCCCCCTCCCTCTCTCTCACACACTCACACTCACACACACACACACACACACACACACACACACACACAGCTGGCACTTTTTATTCCTCTTTATTCCGTTATAGTCCCTCCTAGCACTGGCCGCCATGGGACTGCCATGTGACTTGACTGTCTCCCATAAGAACTTGAGCTCTGAAGGTGGGGTTTTCCTCCCCATTTGCTCACTGCCGTGTACCTAGGAGGGCCTGGGCCAGAGCAGGCAGCCAGTCCATCCTCACCGAGAACAGATAACCAGCCCGAACCAGAGCGACCGGGACAGCGGAACCAGGTGGGGTTCTCTGCAGGAGATGGCCGGGCTTGGCGAGTTTGGTCCCCTCCCCTTACTCCCCCGCACAGCTTCAGGAGTGGTCAGGCAGCCCAGCCCAGGGCGCCACACTCACTGCCCCTCCGATCTGCACACAGGCCCGGCCACCCGCCACCGAGGCCACCCGCCGAGAAACTTCCAGAAGACTCTCTGCACTGCGCACCGTTTACTAGCACGTCCTTGGGAAATGAACGGGAGTGCAGCACGCCCGATAAAGCCTAGCGCTGGGTCTCCGGGGAGTTTTCCACCTCGAACCCGGGACTGTCCAGTTCACCATGGAGGGTCTCTCCAGCTCCTGCGGAGTCACTGCTCTCGGGAAGTGGCCGAGGTCCCAGGAGGACGCCGCTCAGCCCTCCGCCTGCTTAGCTCCTTCTCGCGCCAGCCTGTCGGCCGCCTCGTTACCAACAAATCCCGAGTGACCAGGAACGTGCATCTGTGGACAGGATCCCCTTTCCTTCTGCACCTCACCGTACAGCCCGCCTCCGGGAGCTGAGGAGGCGCCCCCCGCCCCTCCCCTCCCCTGCAGGGCCACACAGACACACTCCACCCCGACCCTCCATAGCCTGGATCTGACTGTGTGCTGCTCTTTCCCAGTATGACAGGGCAAAGCACGTGTGCGCCAGAGGTGTGTGCACCAGAGGTGTGTGCACCAGGGCGGGTGTGCACCAGGGCGGGTGTGCACCGGGGGGAGCCCCGACACTCACTACTACGCACTGAACCGTGGAAGGCTGCCCCTCGTGTGTGAACTGTTTACCCGCTATAGCGAGCTTCCCACAGCGCCCAGTCCATGTCCTGGCTCTCCTGCAGGGCAGGGACACGGGTACCGTCTAACGTGCTCCGGTTGTTTGGAAAGTAATTTTAACAAAACCCATCTCTTATAGACACTGACCACTAGACGTCCACGCCCCGGACACGGACACTCACCCACCCACTGCACGTCCACGCCCCGGACACGGACACTCACCCACCGCACATCCACGCCCTGGACGAGCCTGTCCAGCTCCATGAAGTCCTCCTTGTTGGTCACTGCCTTCCCGGTGCTCGTCCTCCACCCGTTCTCCTTCCAGCCCTGGACCCAGCTGGTGATGCCTGCAAGACATGCCTCCAGACTAGGAGCTGCGGACGGACGGCCTCCTCCCTCGATTCTAACTGCACTCGGCCCACAGTGCTCAGCCTGGGATGTCACGTCCTCCGGAAGCACCGCAATCTCAGCACCGCTCCATCTCCCTACACGTTTCCCAAGAAGCCACCAGCCCGCCATCCTCAGCCCCACAAGCGGCGGACACGTGCGGCGCCCCGAGCAGGGCTTACCGCCGTCCTGCCCTGGCTCTAGTCCCGAAAAGAAGCCCTCCGTGGCAAACCTGGAGCGGCAGACCGGTCCCAGACCCGCACCCTCTCCTTCACCTGGCATGGGGTCCCCCGATACAGTGCCCCACAGGTGAAGGAAACACCGGTTTCCCAGCAAAAGTGCTAGAACCACCCGAAGGGAGACGCGCAGCTCACCGTTGATGGTGAACATGCTGTCTGTGTACAGAGCCAGCTTGGTGATGTTCTGAGCCCTGGCCTGCGCGATGGCTTTGCAGGCTGCCTGGAGAGAGGTCGTCGTCACTGCAGAGCCTGCCCACTCCCACCTCAGACCCGCAGCGACTCAGGTGCAACGCCCCTCCTCCGCGGACTGTGATGCCTACAGTCTGGCTCACGGCAAACACTGTGTGGAAGGTTTCATAACTTCCCAGAAAGCCCTGTCCTCCGTAACCCCCACTAGCCCCACTACGTTTCCTCTGGCGTCGAGTGGCTGGCACACAGACAGCACGAAGCTCACGAGTTTGTTCAGTCGTGCTAAAGGAGGACACCCTTGGGTGGTTAGTGGGAAGCGTCGATAGCTTACGTGGATTTCTGCTCTCTGGTTGGTCTGTCGCCCAGGAAGTCTCATGCCCACGTTTCTGGATCCAGAAAAGCACAGAGAAATAAGATTATACGCTAATGTGGGTCTTACTTGGCACACGACAGCATCGCACAAAAGCACCGTTAGGAACAGAGCCAGCACGGGCCCGGGAGAGCCTGCAGCCGCCGCCCCCCCCCCCCCCCCCCCCCCGGGTACTCACAGAGGGTGGCCGGGCCCCCAGTACACGCCGATGCCCGCGCGCGCCCGCCGGCGCCCGTTGCCGCAGCAGCAGCCGTCCGTGTAGACGACGACGTATTCGCCTGCGAGATGGAAGCTCAGTGAGTGTCGTCCTCGCCAGAAACCGAAATTCACCTAGAGGCTCACGGCAGCGGACCCAGGGGTTTTCCCTGCAACGCCCAACATCCTCAGGTGAGGATGAGGGTGATCAACATCAGCTGCAACTTCCCCATTAAAAAGGGGGAAGAGCTTTTATACACAGTTTCATTATAATTAAAAACAAAAATCTGCCCTAAGCGGTGTGGCTCAGTGGACAGACCGTTGGCCTGTGGACTGAAAGGCCCCGGGTTTGATTCCGGTTAAGGGCATGTGCCTTGGTTGTGGGCTTGAACCCCAGTGCGGGGTGTGCAGGAGGCAGCTGATCAATGGTTCTGATCATCAATGTTCCTATCTCTCTCTCCTCTTTCTTCTTCTCTGAAGTCAATAAAAACGTAAAGAAGAGACAAACCCATGTAAGAGAAGGTGTCCTTGTCCACCGGAGGGGCTGCCTCCTCCTCCTGCTTCACATGCTTGGCACGCGGCTCCACGTTCTCCTCCCCCACAGCCGGGGGCTCCCGGCACCGCTTGCTGGCTTTCGCCTGTGATTCGGGCAAGACGAGCTTGTCTTCCTGCCCTGAAAGACGAGGCGGCTCAGAAGCCAGAAACAACGAATCCGACACCAACGATTAAGAATCCCGAAGTTCGGCGAGTCCTCCCGCATCACTGACGCTGACCAGACCTAACCGCCCCTGTGTATGGCCCTGTGAAGACAAGGGCTGCGTCTGTGAAACGTCCTAAATTCCACAAGCTGGACGAGGACCACGGGAAGAGGGGAGCAAAGCGTCTGCTAAAATAAACCTGGTTTCGATGGAGTCCGCAGAGACATAAGGGTTAGGTCACAGGAGTTTGAAAATCTCAGGGCTCCTTCCCCAGGAAAAACAAAGCCCAAAATTTTATGTGGAAACTAGAGAACTAGGCGTGTGACACCTGGGAGGGGGACTGTGCAGAGGTCAGAGGGCACCTGGGAGGGGGGCTGTGCACAGGTCAGAGGGCACCTAGGAGAGGGGCTGTGCACAGGTCAGAGGGCACCTGGGAGGGGGGCTGTGCAGAGGTCAGAGGGCACCTGGGAGGGGGGTGCACAGGTCAGAGGGCACCTAGGAGAGGGGCTGTGCACAGGTCAGAGGGCACCTGGGAGGGGGGCTGTGCACAGGTCAGAGGGCACCTGGGAGGGGGGCTGTGCACAGGTCAGAGGGCACCTGGGAGGGGGGCTGTGCAGAGGTCAGAGGGCACCTGGGAGGGGGGCTGTGCACAGGTCAGAGGACACCTGGGAGGGGGGCTGTGCACAGGTCAGAGGGCACCTGGGAGGGGGGCTGTGCACAGGTCAGAGGGCACCTGGGAGGGGGGCTGTGCACAGGTCAGAGGGCACCTGGGAGGGGGGCTGTGCACAGGTCAGAGGGCACCTGGGAGGGGGGCTGTGCACAGGTCAGAGGGCACCTGAGACAGGAAGTTGTGCTCAGGTTAAGGTGACAGTGGTGGCGTGGTGACTACCTTTCGAATCAGGGCTCCCCGAGTTCCTGACGAAGGCCCAGGCTTCCTCCTCGGTGGCAAACTTCTTGAACCGGGCGGCGGGGAACCGATCCACCTGCGCCCTGCATTCGTCCCTGGAAGAGGCCGCGTCACCGCCCGCTCCGGCGTCCCCGTCCCCTTCCGGGGTGCGGTCCGGGCGGGAGGGCGCAGGCCGGGCAGGCGGCCTCAGTCCCGGGGTCACCGCGCGCCCGCCCCCTCCCCGCACGCGCTCCCCGCCTCCAGCACCGCAGGCCCGGGTCTCCAATCACTTCCGGGGCGGCGCTCACCAGGTCAGGAAGACCCCGGCCTTGCGGCCCCTCCTCACGGCGTAGAACATGCCGAGCCCGCCGCTGCGGCAGCGCACGGCGGCCAGAGCGACCCTGCGCACCGCGCCCAGGAGCCGAGTCATCGCTCCCTCCCGAGCCCGGGCCGGCGCCCCGGCCCCCGGCTCCCCGCCGCCATCGCGCGGACCGAACTGCGGCGGCGGCGCGGGGAGATGACGCGCAACCCGAGCGCCAGGCCCGGTGGGCGGGGCCTAGCGCCAAGCGCTCCGCAGGTTCGGCGACTTCCGGGATGTCAGTGAGGAAGGAAGGCCAGGAGGCAGGTCCGGGGCGGGGTGGGCGGGGCCTGGGTCCAGGGCGGTGTGGGCGGAGCCACGCGAAGGGCGGAGCCTAGGGAGGAGCGCGGTAGGTTTGCGCTAAGTGTGGTTGTGGGCGGGGCTTTGTGTGGGCGGGGGCCTGTGAGGTGTGGGCGGGATCTGGGAGGTGTGGGCGGGATCTGGGAGGCGTGGGCGGGATCTGGGAGGTGTGGGCGGGACCTGGGAGGTGTGGGCGGGATCTGGGAGGTGTGGGCGGGATCTGGCGCCCTCTGGGGCTGGGAAGCCGGGTGGGCTGTAAATGAAGAGGGGCTACTGCAGGGGCCCAGCAAAGGTGCTGCCTGACCGCTGCCCCCCGCCCCTCAGCGTGATCGAGGGGTCAGACCTATTTAGGACTCGCTTCTCCGGGTGAACTGGCTGGCTGTGCTCCTTTATCTCAGAGACCACTTGTGTTTAAAACTTAAAACAGCGGAACCCGGCAGTGAGAACTACCCGTGACGTACGTTCATTCAAGTGCAGATTTTAGTTTGCACATGACATGTTTTATTAAATTTGAATACTGTCTTTGAAATGGACATTTGTGCTTTCTAACTGCTAAGTATTGGTTCTGAAACAATTAATTACAACAGATCATGGTAGGGGTATAGCTAAGAAGACTCCTCGGCGGGAGAAGGGTGTTAAAATAACCACTCTGAGTGTCCTCCTGCCCCTGAGCGCCAGGTGCCAGCCACAGCCCACGAGCTGTGTAAACTTGGTGAGCTACTCAAGGTCCCTTTCCTCCTTTGAAAACTGGAGTAATGATGCTGTGCCTGGTGACCGAGAAGAGGGACTGTGTGCCTCGAACCTGGTCTGACTCACAAGCGTGCCCTCCCTGCCACACTGATCCTTTTCATCTATACCGATTTCTTGCATATGAATGGAAGAATGCTGTTTCTTTTAATGAAGCATATTGAAGATGAGCAAATGATCGGTTTATGATAAAAATCAAGTGTTACTATCTACCTATTGTAAATGTCAATATCTGAGCGATTACCTTCTGTCCACCTGATAGGTTACTGATGCCTCAAGATTGGACTGTTATATAGGAAGGGTGGGTGACCTGGGAACTTCCAGAAGCCAGTGACCTTGCTCCAATGCCTGTGTTTTCCACATTCATTGCCGCTTGCACCTTGGTTTCACTCGCATGCCTCTTACACGGGCAGGCAGATGAGGGCTGTAAAATCCTGACAGCTCTCAGTGGAGGGGAGAGAAGACCTTCAACCCGTTAATTCCCGATTGAACAGACAGGCCCACAAATTCATTGTACATGCAAGGACTCCTCATTAACTCTGCCGGTCACTTTATTATGATATTAGGAACTGGGGGGAAAGAGTGACTTTGAAGTCCAGGCTCTCTCCCCGTTTCCCCTCACCCTGCACCCCAGGCTTCCTGCCTCACAGATGCTGCCATTATACATTCCCAGCTTAGAATTCTTTTGATTGATTGATTGATTTTGAGAGAAAGAAACATCGATTTGTTGCTCTATTTATGCATTCATTGGTTGATTATTGTATGAACCCTGACCGGGGATGGAACCCTCAACCTTGGCTTATCAGGACGATTTAATAACGTTCTATCTTCGGGTACTTCCCTCGGGCCAGGTCTCCCGCCCAGACCCCGGCTGTGAGCCTCCAAGATCCCGCAGAGAAACTCCCCGGAACCGCACCGAAACTGATGCTCCCGGGCGGAAAAGTGTTACTGGACCTCCGGAGCCTTTCTCCAGGACTCTCTAGGCTCCTACCCTGTCTCAGTGGTTCTTCCGGTTTTTAGCTCCGCCTCTTCCTTCCCGCCGCCGAGATTTGACGAGCTCTCGCGAGATTCAGGCCTCTTCTCAAGCCGGCGTTCACCCAAGTAAGTGTGGGGCCTCCTGTCCGAGCGAACTTTTCGGGCAATGTGGAGGGCGACGGGCTCTGGCGGCAGCTCTGGAGCGGCGGGCCCCGCTCGCCGGGTGGGGATGCGGCGGATGACGCGGCGTGCGGCCCCCGATGGCGCGCGCGGGGCGGGCGGGGGCGCGGGGGCCCGCTCAGCTTCGGGCGCGCTCTCTTTCCAGGGGGAGCCATGTTCAGTTCCAGCGCCAAGATTGTGAAGCCCAATGGCGAGAAGCCCGACGAGTTCGAGTCCGGCATCTCCCAGGTGAGACGTGGGGCGGGCGGCGGGCGCGGGGGTCCCGGGGGCGGCGGGCACTGGGTCCCGGGAGCGGCCGCTCGGTCGCTGAGGTCGCCCCCGCCCCCTCTAGGCTCTGCTGGAACTGGAGATGAACTCTGACCTCAAGGCCCAGCTGCGGGAGCTGAACATCACCGCGGCCAAGGTAAGTCACGGCCAGCGCTTTGCGGTGTTGGTCCGAGCTGCCGGGGACCCGGGAGGGCTGCCCTCAGGGCGGCGGGCGGCGGCGGCCTGCCTCGCCCCTTCGGGTCCCCGCAGCGAGGACCCGTTGCAGGAGCGGCACCTGGGCTCGGCTGGTCCCTGGCGGGGAGGGAGCTGGCGGTTCGCGGCGCTCCAGGTTCAGCCCCTGCTCCGCGCGCGGGGGACCCGGCGGTTTCGGGACGCGTGTCTTGCGCCCAGAAGCCGCGGTGCTTGCATGGTGTCGGGTTTGCAGAGCGCAGGCAGCCCGTTTCTGTTGGAAGCAACTTAAACGGAATCGCCCGCGGTGGGCTGTGACGTGTGCGTGCGCTCACAGACCGGCCCGCCACGTGCGAGGCAGAAAGTGACAGTGGAGGGCGTGGCCGTGGGACGGGCTGCTACGTCAGGGCCCCGGTCTGTGTGCACCGTGGAAGCCCTCGACTTAAAGTGCTGTGGATTTGTCTTTTTCTTTTTTATTTCTTTATTGACTAGAGTATCACATTTGTGCTCACCCCCCCATTCCCATCCCACACCCATCCCCACGCATGCCCCCACCCCCCTGTTGTCCGTGACCACTGGTTAGGCTCATCTGCATGCACACAAGTCCTTTGGTTGATCTCTTCCCCCTTATCCCCACCCTCCCCTGCCTTCCCTCTGAGGCCCTCTGATCTGTGCTTCCTTGTCTTTTCGATTTGTCTTTTTCTAAAGTGTCTGCCTTTTTTTTTTTTTAATTTAAATTCTTTGTTGTTTAAAATATTACATATGTCTCCTCTTTCCCCTATAGACCCCCCCCCCCCTCTGTCCTCTGGTCAGCTCCTGTGCATGCACAAGCCCTTGGGTTGATCTTTTACCGTCCGTCCCCCGCCACCACACATACACACATACGCATCCCTGCTTTCCGTCTGAGGCACATGTGTCAAACACAAGGCCCGCGGGCCAAATCCGTCCCGCCAGGCCTTGCAATGTGGCCCACACCTCGCTGTCATCACTGCACTCCGCTGCGTTTCCATCACAATGACAGTTTATGACTGTTCAGTAAACCATTCGGCCCGCGATTTAGGCTGGATTTTAGATTTTGGCCCCTTCTCTGATTGAGTTCGACACCCCTAGTCTGAGGTTATAGACAGTCTGTTGGATGCTTCTAAGTCTCTGGGTCAATCTATTTTGTTCTTGTTGTTCACTGTATTCCACAAATGAGTGAGATCATGTGATACTTACCTTTTTCCAACTGGATTATTTCGATTAGCATAATGCTCTCTGTCCATCCCTGCTGTTGTGAATTCTAAGAGTTCCTTCAGCAGCCTAGTAGTCCGTGGTGCAGGTGTGCTGGTTTTTTAACCCACCATTTCCCGATCTGTCTCTCAGGAAATCGAAGTCGGCGGCGGCCGGAAAGCTATCATCATCTTCGTCCCCGTCCCTCAGCTCAAGTCTTTCCAGAAGATCCAGGTCCGGCTGGTGCGAGAGCTGGAGAAAAAGTTCAGCGGCAAGCACGTCGTCTTCATCGCTCAGGTGCATGTCCTGCGGAGGGCGTTCTCACTGAGCTCCGTAGGATCGTGCGTGTGGGCACTGGGCGTGGTAAAGTAGCCCTGCAGTGGACATGGAGGAACGAGGTTAGATGGTGGAGAGCTGGGGAAGGTGTGCTTGTGGCAGGTTAAAGGGTAAAGTGCACCTTTGCTGTTAGTGAGCAAATGGCGTAAACAGAGCTGCTTAACGAGGTGCTCAAACTAAGGCACCTGAGCCAGGGTTTTCCTGCCAGAGAATCACCTGCCTGAAGCTTGCTGTGTGGGGTAGGCAGGGAGGCTGGGGTGCTGAGCGCCCTCTGGAGGAGGGGGGAGGGTTTCCCAGGAACGCGCGGTCTGGCTGGCTGGTCTGGCTGGGCTTTCGAAGGGTTTGGGTTCTGTTGTGAGTCTGTCTTTAAAGCAGTTGATAGTTTTCTGACACCTTACGGCCTGTGTTGGTGCTACGTGACCATGTTTGCCTTGCAGAGACGGATTCTGCCGAAGCCAACTCGAAAAAGCCGGACCAAGAACAAGCAGAAGCGGCCCCGGAGGTGAGTCTCCGTCGGCCTCGCCGCCTTGTGGGGCTGTTGCAGGAAGAGCTGTGGTGGCTTCTGAGGTCACGTGGTGGTGGTTTAGGGAACTGGCTGTGATTGAGGACGGCTTCCTCGGTAACAGGAGTTAATGTTTACGGTTTGGAGGAGTGACAGGTGCTGCGTGGCTGGGACCGTGATCATGGCTGTCACAGGATGGAGATGGTGTCCTTGGCTCTGGGCAAAGGAGGGAACTGAAGGACCCTTAGTTCGGGCACACCAGGAGGGGTGGCCAGGCTGTGGCCTTGGCTGTGAGTGAAGGCACATGTTGAACCTATTGCGCCTGCAGCCGCCGGTGCGGATACCCAGCCTGATGGGCTGGTTCTCTGTGGCCTCAGTGTCGGCTGGATCGGGTCTCTGGTTTCAAGGGCTTGAGGGTTGGCCCGCAGCCCTGCCCTCCCAACAGGTTAAGGAAAACGTTCTGGTTCTGGTGTCTTGCTCTGCCAGACGGGCCTTTGTTAAGTGCTCACAGGATGAGGAGAAAAGGTTTTTTAGTTGTTAAAATAAGTTTAAAAAGCCTGGGAAAATAATAAAAAGTAAAGGTGGTGAGACTGGCACGGCCTGGAGAGCTGGCCCATCCCGGCTGTCATGGGGGAGGGGGGGCCAGGGAGTTTTTTCCGGGCCTTGAATTATAGGGTTCAGCCCTTTGAGCTTGTCCTTGGGCGGCTTTGGTGTCGGAATTCAGGAATAGCATGCTCTCCCTCCTGGGAACCTCCGGCCTTCCCTCAGGTGTGCCTTCCTAAGGGTCCTCCTGAGACTCGGAACCAGGGGAGTGGTGGGCAGCAGCAGCTTGTCCCGGGCTCACCCCCGATCCTGTCTGTTTCCAAGGCCCCTTTCTCTGACGTTTCTGAGCCAAAGCAGCCCATTCTGGGCTTCTGAACCTTCCTCAGCTCACCGGCCCAGCTTTCAGAAGTACACTCTCAAAGGAAAAGAATTCAGGAGTGTCCTAGCTAGTTTACAAGAGATAATCCAGAGCATTTAGTTTGTTAGTCGTGGCCCCTAAGCAGTTTGTGATCTCAGCTCTGAGGACAGAACAGACCCAGTGCTCTGTGCTCAGCTGAGGACCTGGCTCCAGACCGGCGCCCTCTCCCCCCATGCCTGCGGCCCCACGGCCTTTCGCTGCTGACAGATCAGCTCCTGCCTTCCTATGTGCGCTCTGCCTTCAGTGTCTCTCTCAGATTCAGTGCGGAGGTTTACATGTTTGGCTTTTAACCTAGCAAAGTCTCAGCTAATTCCCTGCTGACCAGCAGCTCAGGCTCCGGTTGGTGGTTACCGAAGCTGCATTGCTGTGGCCACCCTTTGAAGAGAAATTAGCTAGCGATGGAGTCTGCAAGATGCTTGCTTGTTGCTTTTAGAGAGATGCTGATTTGTTCCGAGTATTCGTGCCTTCAGGGGTTGGTTTGCATGTGCCCTGACCGTGTTGGGACCCCTGCCACCTTGGTGTATGAGGCGCTGCTCTAGCCGACGGAGCTGCTGGCCAGGGTTTGCTTCTAGCTCCTCTGAAAGGGGACCGTGAGCGGAGGTCCACGTATGAGCCTCCCCAGCCCTGGCAGAAGGAGGTGCTTGTAAGGGCAGCGGTGGTCAGTGAAGCCAATAGTCTGTCCTCAAGGTGATGGAGGGCTTGGGTGTCACAGTGAGTCCCTGGGGAGCCACCACACGCCTGCCCTTCCTGTGTGGGACCTCAGACGGGGACTGGGTTGGTGTCCACTGTGCTGACCCGGGGACAGGTCCCTAGACAAACCCCAGAGCACAGGTGCTCTGTAAGTTGGAGGACTGTAGGCTGTCCTGCCCCACCCCTTACCCCCATGCTGCCTCGAAGGGTGGGAGTCATGACCTGTTGTCAGCAGCCGCTGTCCTAGAGCTGCTGATGGAAGCCTCTGGGGTGGATGTTGCCTCAGTGATGGCTGAGGAGGAGGGTTAGGGTGGTGAGAGGCAGCGGGAGCTCCTGGAGGACCTTTGGTGGGGAAGCGTGATCACGTGATCGCGGTAGCCGAGGGGGCGCACAAAGTGCACGTAAGCCTGCGGTGGTGTGAAGGCCCTGGCCCTTCCCTGGAGATCGGCACCCGGTGGGTGACCGCTTACCGGGAGTGTCCACACTGACCTCCGACAACCAGGGGGCTGCTCTCCCGGTTGGGTTAGAGCTGCTGTAAGGAGCGGCTTGGAAACGGGCCCATGTGGTTGGGGGCCTGGCACTTGCCCTGGGCTGTGACTTGCAGAGGTGCCCTTGGCCCCGCACTGGGCCGGCCCCTCCCGGTGCTCACTCTGCCCTGTTCTTGAAGCCGCACGCTGACCGCCGTGCACGACGCCATCCTGGAGGACCTGGTCTTCCCCAGCGAGATCGTGGGCAAGCGCATCCGCGTGAAGCTGGACGGCAGCCGGCTCATCAAGGTGCACCTGGACAAGGCGCAGCAGAACAACGTCGAGCACAAGGTGGGGGGCCTGGGGGCCTGGGGGGCAGCGGGAGGCCCTCGTGGCACCAACAGGATGGACAGGTGGCACTGCCCGTGGCGGCTGTGTGCCAGTGGGCGTGTTGTGGGTTATGGGGAAAGAGGGAGTAGATTCCAGGGTGTGGCTCAGTGAGGTGGTGTGTGGGGGCAGGAGGGGAGGTAGAACAGTTCTGTTATTTTTGACGAGTTTTTTGTTTTGTTTTTTCTTGTAGGTTGAAACTTTCTCTGGTGTCTATAAGAAGCTCACAGGCAAGGACGTTAATTTTGAATTCCCAGAGTTCCAGTTGTAAAGGAAAATGACTAAATAAAATATTCTCGGTATTCTGTTGAGGCCTCTTTCAAATTTCAGAGAGGTGTCAAGCTCCCTCCTCGGGCCGGGCTTTCAGGGATGTGAGGGGTTCGGGGTAGGAGCCCCAGACCAGCACCGCCTGTGGCCCAGCCGGAGGGCACAGCCAGGTGTGGACGTCCCAGCAGTGCCGACACGCTCAGTCCCGAGGCGGGCTTCCACCCGCCGTCTGAAGAGAACATGTGCTCGCTCGTTTTCTTCTGTGGTTAAACACACAAGCTTCACCATCGTGGGCGTTTTTGCACGTACAGCTCAGTAGCATTAGGCACGTTTCGGGGTCTTGGCCAGCCCTCCAGCCCATTTATCAGAGAACTGAGCCAGACTCATTGAGCTCTCCCTCCCCCAGAGCCGGGCCTGCCCACGTGGAGCCTCACGCTGGGTCTCCGTGGTCTTAGGGAGGTCAGGTGTGAGTGGGCCAGTGAGCTGACCGATCCCTTCCTTCCACAGCCCAGGCCTTCGGGGCGGTTGGAGGTGAAGCAAAGCCTCGTGTCAGCTCTCACTGCCGTCCTCTGTGCCTGGCATGACGCACAGGCCGCCTGGGGACTGGCCAGCTGAGCAGTGCTCTGAGGCTGGGGGTGGGGTGGGGTTCATGTTGCTCTGCGCTCCTGGAGGCGTGAAGCCTGGTCCTGGGAGGGGAGTGCGGGGTGTCCTGAGAGGCAGTGTCCCAGGGGAGGGCTGCAGGCCTGGCCTCCAGTGACATTCCACCCAGGCTGGCCTGCTGTCCACAGCTCCCCTTATCCCCGAGGAATGTAAATAGTGACCTCAAGACTCGGATTCTCAGTCTGGAAGTGGCCCCGGAGGGTCAGAGGTCACGGGAGGAGAGGAAAACGGGCCTAGGAGCAGCTGCTCATTGCTGAGGTGCAGTGAACCCTCAGCTAAAACTCCTGACTGGAAACAGCCCCGTCTACCTAGCAGCCAGGTGGTCATGGATTCCCAGTCAGGTACATCCCCAGTAGGAGGCAGCTAATCGATTCTCTCGATATTTCTATCTCCCTCTCTGAATCAAGAAAAATATATTTTTATTTTTACAGAGAGGAAGGGAAAGAAATAGCTAGAAACACCATGAGAGAAACCAATCAGCTGCCTCCTGCACACCCCCCATGGGGGATCAGCCCCCAACCCAGGTACATGCCCTTGACGTGAATCAATCCTTGGACCCTTCAATCTACAGGCCAACACTATCCACTGAGCCAAACTGGTTATGGCTTTTTTTTTTTTTTAAAGAAAAATATTCTTGAAGAATTTTGCATCTGCAGACTGGAACCTCGGTGGGAGGGTGGGTGGGGGGACCAGCCATGGACCAGACTATAGGTTGGGGGCGGGGCGGGGCGGGGCACGGTGGGCGGGGCGGTTAGCCGGGAAAGGGCCAGGTAAGACTCCCATCAATAAAGATCTTTAAGGTGCTGGCGTCTGTCCTGTGGGTATTGGCTGGGGCTGGTTTTGCTCTCTTCCCATGGCTTTGGGTAACACCAGCCTCCTGGGGTGGATGGGAACTGCTCTCCTGGGTGCAGGAGGCGGAGTTGGTGTTAATTTTCCTTAAGCGTTTGGTGGACTCTGAAGCCCTCTGCCTTTCCGGCTCCCCGGGTGGTGGGCCCTGAGTCCCCCCGCACGGCGGCCTGTGGTGCCTGGGTCTGAGCTGCCCCGTGGGCGATGCTGTCGGCGGGTGGATGAAGAGCCATTCTCCCGTTCTGTGAGGCGCGTGGGGCCCAGACGCACAGCTGTGGTCTGTTACGGCTCCCCTTCCATCGCATAAACAGCTCTGAAGCCAGCTCGCCGGTCATCTCCTACGCCTCTTTCTTAAAGAAGCTCGCCTGGTGTGTAGGGGAGCCCCAGCCGGAGCTGGGCCGGAGCGTGGGCTGCCTTTCCGTGGAAGCACAGAGAGGGAGGGGCCACCGCGGGAGGAGGGGTCTGACAGCCCCAGGTTTGCTGTGAAGCCCACGTGGACCGGAGGAAACGTCCGTGATGAGGGAGTCCTGGATCAGCTGCCTCCTGCACTGCCCCCACCGGGGATCCAGCCCACAGCCCTGGCCTGTGCCCTGACCCGGTTCATGACTTAATGCTGGGCACTCATACTTATTTCTCCCACAAGAAGAAAAAAGGAGCCGAAACCAGTTTGGCTCAGTGGATACAGCGTCTGCCTGCAGACTGAAAGGTCCCAGGTTCGATTCCGGTCAAGGGCATGGAGCTTGGTTGAGGGCACGTCCCCAGTTGGGGGTGTGCAGGAGGCAGCTGATCCATGTTTCTCCCTCATCGATGTTTCTAGCTCTCTATCCCTCTCCCTTCCTCTCTGTAAAAAATCAATAAAAATACATTTTCAAAAAAGAAGAAGAAAGAAAAGAACGGGAGGAGCAGCAGATGCCGGTGTTGGGGCGGAGGGGCGGGTGGGAGTTAGCCAGCCGCCCGGAGCCTCGGAGCCTGACTCCGGCTGCGTTCCCACACTCCGCTCTGCCCGGCAGGTCAGGGATGTTTCAAACAGGAAGCTGCCGCAGATAACGGGGCCCGGCCTGGTTTGCTGGGCGGTGGGACGGCCCCAGCCGCTCCCCTCCGGTGGGGCTGCACCGCTCAGTGTCCCGGCGGGTCCCCGGCAGTCAGGACGCCTCTGCCTCGCCTGCCTCAGGTAGGGGAGGCCCTGCCGGGATTGCCACCGGGGGAGCAGGGCGGAGGGTGAGCGTGGGGAGAGGCTGCCTAGGAAGGCCGGTCTGGGCAGCAGGGAAGGAGCCGGTGGAGGGCCGCGGGCAGCGCCGAGCTCCAGGCAAAGGCGCGGCCGCGGTGCTCACCCGGTCGGTGGAGGTCCTGACGGCCTGGGTGCAGGGTGAGGGGACCGTCCGCCTGAAGGACTGTCTCTGCCGCCAGCACAGGCTCGGGCTGGACCCCTGCCGGCCGGGGGGCCGAGCACGTGGACGCCCAGTCCCCTGCACTGGCTCAGTTACGGGGCCCTGGACGTGTGGGCCAGCAGGTCACCTCACCCAGAGCGGCCCTCTGGTCTCCCAAACGGGGTGAGAGGGAAGTGGGGGGTCCTTGTGGCCTGATGCTGGTGTGCTGCTGGCGAGGAGCCGGAGGGTCAGCGGCTCGGATGGACACGTGATGTGGCCGCCTCACCCCCCGTGCGGTGGGAGGCTCTGGCCACAGGCAGGGCAGAGCCGGACGTCCCAGCTCTTCCATTCATGACAGTTTTGAAGAGTTTCTGTCACAAGAGGAGAGCAGGCAGGATGTGCATATGCCTAACAAACAATGGGACGGCCGCCCGCCTGGGGTTTTGGTAAAAGATCAGAAAAATGTGCCATTGGGTGCAGCCTGTCCTGGTCCGTGGGCGGGGCCGGGAGGCGGCAGGGTCGGAGGGTGGTGGGTCAGGGCTGCGGGGGCCTGTGCTCCCTGGGCTGGTCCCCGGTGTGTCCTCCGCGGGGTGGGAGTGGCCGTGGGGCCGTGTGGGGTGTGCTCGGGGACAGCGGGATGTTAGGGGCATGAAGCTCTGTGGTCACTGCGGACGTCACTGCCCTGTGCTCCGGCCGGGAATTCCAGTGGCATCTCCCTCTGGAGCCGCCTCCTTCGCTGATGCTGACGGAGGGCCGGCCTCCTGGGCCCAGGATACGGAGGTTCTCACAGGGGCCTGGGGGCTGCGGCTTCTCCGTTTATAGAAGGAAATTCCTCTTCCCAGCGGCAGGAGCCAGGAGGGTGGGGGTGAGGGTGACGGTGCAGGTGAGGGTGCGGGTGCAGGTGAGGGTGCGGGTGCGGGTGAGGGTGGGGGTGAGGGTGGGGGTGAGGGTGAGGGTGAGGCTGAGGCTGAGGCTGAGGCTGAGGCTGAGGGTGCGGTGGGGATCTCAGGTGTGCACGCCCCCGTCTCTGCAGGCAGGACCTGGGGCTGACCAGGATCGGGGAGGCCTGGGGTGGCTGCGGATGCAGTGTGGCAGCTGGGTCCGAGAACCTTGTGCAGTGAGGAGGGTCGGCAGGCGCTCCCGAGTGTCCTGTCCCTCCCTTCCCTGCCTCCCCGTCGTCAGGAGCCTGGGCTGCCCGAGCTACACGGTGGGCAGCCCGGGGCGTGGGGGCGGAGGGGCCAGCCCCGGGGACCCACACGTGACTGCTGGCTCAGGAAACGCAAACCGAGGGCAGCCACACAGCCTCCTGTGCGCACACGTGGCCCTGAGGAGAGGCCTGCCTGAGGGGACGGGCCACAGAGCTGGCGTGAGGCCGGGCGTGGGCCTCAGGGCTTCATGGACCACAAACAGGCCTGTGTGCGCATGTGTGTGTGTGTGTGTGTGCGCGTGTGCGTGTGAAGTGTCCGCTGTAAAGAACCAGAGAGAGCCTGGCTCACGTGGCTCAGAGGTTGAATGTCGTCCCGTGAACCAAGGCCCGGGTTGCAGGCTCGATCCCCAGTGGGGGGCGCGCAGGAGGCAGCCGAGCAATGTTTCTCTCATTGATGTTTCTACCTCTCTCCCTCCCCCTTCCTCTCTCTAAAAAAATGAATAAAAACATACTGTTTCATTTTTTAAAAAAGAACCAGAGGAGCACGGTAATAAGCGAGAGAGACAAAAGCATGCAGGCTCCCGGCAGCCCCCTGGCCCTCGGGGTGGCCTGCACACTGTCTCCGGTCCTGGTTCCGGCGTTCCCGGCACTGTTTGCCCTCCTCCCTGCAGGGTCAGAGCCCGCCCGCACACAGGATGAGGGGGGAGCTGGCCCTCGTCAGCCTGGCCTTCCTGTCGCTGGTGCTGTCGGCTGGCGCTCAGCAGACGGCGGACGATGCCTGCTCGGTGCAGATCCTGGTCCCCGGCCTCAAAGGTAATGCTCCTTCCCAGGGGTCCCCCCCTTCCTGCCCCCGCCCCCCAGCTCCTGTGCGCTGACAGTCCCCAGTCTGACTGGGTGGGCCTCAGTTTCCCCATCTGAAGAAGCCAGGGGTGGAATACAGGGTGTCCACTGCCTGCTCGGCCAGGAATTCTGTGCTGGGAAGCCATTTCTGTGCAGCTCAGGCGTCCGTGTGGGCATGAAGGCAGCTGACCTTTGCGCCCGGCTCTGCAGTCACTGTGCGTGGCCCAGGAGACCCCCAACGCCGCACACGTGTCCGATGAGCCCGTCAGGAGCAGAGCCTCGCAGTGTGCCCGCCGGCCTGTCGCCGCTCCACAGCCGAACACTCACCGCTTTCAGGCGCTCCTCTTCCTCCTGAGAAACCCCATCGCTCTGTCGCTCTGCCTGCGGCTCCTTCCTGGCGGAGCGAGCCTGCAGGCTGGCGGGGGCACCTCTGGGGGAGTCACCGTTTCTACGAAGCACCCGGTTCCACACCTGCGACCAGGCAGGGCCAGCTCCCCACTCCAGGGCCCCGCGGGCCGGCATGAGTCCCCTGTGGCCCTGCTCCCAGGGCGGCAGCCGGAGCTCCCGCCCGATCACTGAGGTCACACAGACACACTGTCTCTCTCCTCGCTCTCTCCCTCTCCCTCCCTCTGGAGCCAGAAACAGTGCTCTTAGAAATAACAGTAACCGCGGGCTTCTCCTGCAGGGGACGCCGGGGAGAAGGGCGACAAGGGCGCACCCGGGCGGCCTGGGCGAGTGGGCCCCACCGGAGAGAAAGGTGCCTCCGGCCTCAGACCCGTCCCTGCAGGCGGGGAGGGCTGTGCGCGGGTGTGTGTGTGTGTGTGGTGTGTGCACCCGGACGGCCTGGGCGAGTGGGCCCCACCAGAGAGAAAGGTGCCTCCGGGTGTGTGTGTGTGTGTGTGTGTGTGTGCGCGCACCCGGGCGGCCTGGGCGAGTGGGCCCCACCGGAGAGAAAGGTGCCTCCGGCCTCAGACCCGTCCCTGCGGGCGGGGAGGGCTGTGCTTGGGTGTGTGTGTGTGCGTGCACACGCGGGTGTGTGTATGTGTGTGTGTGTGTGAGTGTGTGTGTGTGTGTGTGTGCACGCGTGTGTGTGCGCGCGGGCGTGTGTGTGTGTGTGTGTGTGTGTGTGTGTGTGTGTGCGCGCGCACCCGGGCGGCCTGGGCGTGTGGGCCCCACCGGAGAGAAAGGTGCCTCCGGCCTCAGACCTGTCTCTGTGGGCGGGGAGGGCTGTGCGCGGGTGTGTGTGTGTGTCTGTGTGTGTGCGTGCACACGCCGGCGGGTGTGTGTGTGTGTGTGTGTGTGTGTGCGAGTGTGTGCGCGAGCGGGCGTGTGTGTGTGTGTGTGTGTGCACCCGGACGGCCTGGGCGAGTGGGCCCCAGCGGAGAGAAAGGTGCCTCCGGCCTCAGACCTGTTCCTGCGGGCGGGGAGGGCTGTGCGCGGGTGTGTGTGAGTGTGTGAGTGTGTGAGTATGTGAGTGTGTGGGTGTGTGTGGTGTTAACGGAGGGACATTGTGTCAGTGACTAAATCTCATTGCTTCCTGCAGGGGGTGTGGGGGACAAGGGGCAGAAGGGCAGTGTGGGCCGCCACGGGAAGATCGGTCCCATCGGCTCTAAAGGTACCTCTCACGTCTGCCTCAAGCCCACGCCCCTGCCCACGCCCACACCCATGCCCCTGCCCACACCCACGCCCCTGCCGGAGGTCGTGCGTGTCCCGTACGCTGGCATGTGACACGTTCTATCCTGTGTGCCCCAGGGGGTCAGTCACCGCTGGCCGCTCCGTGGGGGACGGCTCTGGTGACGGTCACACGTGAGGACACACGTGGTTAATCGTGGCTCACACCCCCGTCCGCCTTCACTTTCTTCCAGGTGAAAAGGGGGACTCCGGCGACATGGGGCCCCCAGGACCCAGCGGAGAACCAGGTACTGCAGCCCGGCTGACAAACCTGCATAGAAACTCGATTCTAGCCGGGAGCGCAGGGCCTGGAGCTGCAGGCGCTGGGAGCCGGCCCCTCACCCGCCTCGCTCCCTGCCCTGAGCCTCTGGGCTGCTCTCCACGGCTCAGCACCGGCCAGAACCTCTGTCCTCTCCCACAGGCCCATCGGGGGGGCCCTGATCCGGCGCCCCCCGGCCCCCTCCTCACCCCAGTACTCACCCTGCACCCCCTCTTCACCCCAGTACTCACCCTGCACCCCCTCCTCACCCCAGTACTCACCCTGCACCCCCTCTTCACCCCAGTACTCACCCTGCACCCCCTCCTCACCCCAGTACTCACCCTGCACCCCCTCCTCACCCCAGTACTCACCCTGCACCCCCTCCTCACCCCAGTACTCACCCTGCACCCCCTCTTCACCCCAGTACTCACGTCTGCACCCCCTCCTCACCCCAGTACTCACCCTGCACCCCCTCTTCGCCCCAGTACTCACCCTGCACCCCGGTTCCGCCACCACCATTGTTCCAGAGGTTCTAGTGCCTCCCGGGCCGCGGCTGAGCAGGCCCCAGCCCTCTCCCCGGCCTCCAGGCTGCGGGTCGGTCGAGGAACATTTGTGTTTGGGGGAGTGGCTACTTCCTTCCTTTCTTCTTTTTTAAATACATGTTTTTATTGACTTTCAGAGAGAGGGAGGGAGAGGGGGAGAGAGACACCAATAATGAGAGAGAATCACGGATCGGCTGCCTCCTGCACGCCCCACACTGGAGATGGAGCCCACAGCCCCGGCCTGTGCCCTGACCGGGACTCGAACCCTGAGCTCCTGGTTCCTAGGTTGAGCCCACCCCTGAGCCCCGCCTTCCTTCTTTCCGGAGCCCACCCTGACTCAGCCCCCTAACGCCCGGTCCCTGCAGGTGTGCCCTGTGAGTGCAGCCAGCTGAGGAAGGCCATCGGGGAGGTGGACAACCAGGTCACCCAGCTGACCTCAGAGCTGAAGTTCATAAAGCATGGTGGGTGCGCCTGGAGCCCCGCGTCCCTGCCCCCTCCGCCCCCTCCGCCCCCTCCGCACCCAACCCCCGGCACCCACGGCTCACGTGGCTCCCCGGTGCCTGTGAGAGATGCCCGCCGTCTGTGTGTGTGCCCACTGAGTGTGCCCGCCGAGGGTGCCCACTGAGTGTACCCCGAGTGTGCCCGCCCTGAGTGTGCCCACTGAGTGCCTGCCCCAAGTGCGCCCTCCGAGTGTGTAACAGGAAGCGAGTGCTCACTCCCGGCCCTGCCTCCCGCAGCGGTGGCCGGCGTGCGGGAGACGGAGGCCAAGCTGTACCTGCTGGTGAAGGAGGAGCGAGCCTACCTGGACGCCCAGCGGGCCTGTCAGGGGCGCGGGGGGGCGCTGGCCATGCCCCGGGACGAGGCCACCAACGGGCTGCTGGCCGCCTACGTGGCGCAGGCCGGCCTGGCCCGGGTGTTCATCGGCATCAGCGACCTGGACCGTGAGGGCACCTTCCTGTACGCCGACCGCTCGCCCATGCAGACCTTCCAGCGCTGGCGGGGCGGCGAGCCCAACAACGCGCGGGACGGCGAGGACTGCGTGGAGATGGAGGCCTCCGGCGGCTGGAACGACGTGGCCTGCCACCTGCCCATGCACTTCCTGTGCGAGTTCGACAAGGAGCACGTGTGAGCGGCCGTCCCTGCGCCCGCCTGCCCGCGGGGCCGCCGATGGCCGGAGGGGAGGGGCCCCCGTCTGCGGGGCGGCCGCCGGGCGCAGGCTCCCGGGCGACGCTCCCTGCCGAGCCCGGACGGCCGTGTGCCGTGTGCCGAGTGCGGGGAGCAGCGTCTCCGTGTCCCCGCGCAGCTCCACGCCCGCGCTGTGGCCCGGTGTCCCTGTGCCTGCTCTGTGTGGCCGCCATCTGACTGCACAGTGAGAGCCCGATGTCACAGCAGGGAGCCCGGGGGCGGCTGCTCCTCGTCCCACGTCACTCCGACCTGTGTTTCTGTAAATGACACACGCACATGCACACGCAAGCACGTGCACACACACTCGCGCGCACACACACACACACACACACACACACACGCTGCCGCCACGCTAGCCGGGAAGGACACCTGTGCTTTGCTGGAACCGGGCTAGGAAAGAGGAATAAACTTCACATGAGCAGCTGCGTGTGTGTTGTTCTGACCCCGGAGTGAGGGTTTTCCCCGGGGTTTGAGAGGGGGAGGGGGGAGGGAGGAGGGCAGGGCGGGGGGAGGGGGAGGAGGGAAGGGAGAGGGGGAGGTGGGAAGGAGGAGGGGGGAGAGTGGGGGGAGGGAGAGGGGGAGGCCGGGGGCAGGGGAGGGGGAGGGCAGGGCGGGGGGAGGGGGAGGAGGAAAGGAGGAGGGGGAGAGTGGGGGGAGGGAGAGGGAGAGGCATGGGGAGGGGGAGGCTGGGGAGGGGGAGGGAGAGGGCAGGGCAGGGAGAGGGGGAGGAGGGAAGGAGGAGGGGGGAGAGGGGGGGAGGGAGAGGGGGAGACCGGGGGCAGGGGGAGGGGGAGGGCAGGGCAGGGAGAGGAGGAGGAGGGAAGGAGGAGGGGGGAGAGGGGGGGAGGGAGAGGGGGAGGCCGGGGGCAGGGGGAGGGGGAGGGCAGGGCGGGGAGAGGAGGAGGAGGGAAGGAGGAGGGGGGAGAGGGGGGGAGGGAGAGGGGGAGGCCGGGGGCAGGGGGAGGGGGAGGGCAGGGCGGGGAGAGGAGGAGCGGCGAGGAGAGGTGAGCGCCCAGTCAGGGTCCTGGTAGAACCCACAGCACGCGGGAGCCAGGTGGCAGGCAGACATCTTTCCTTCTACGTGGAAGGTGCACACACGTGGTCTGGGAGCGTGTGCACACGGAGCGGACTGTCTGCTGGGCTTTCCAGTCCTGAGCACGTGACCTGTGCTTCCCCCTGGATTGTAGCTCAGGCTCATTCTTTCGAGATTGGCTGACTCAAAGGGAGGGGTTGGCCTTTGCTGCTTCACGATGGCGGCCCCCAGGGGGCTGCAAGCCATGCGGCCACCATGGCGGCTGCCAAGTCGCGCGGTTCGTCTGAGCTGTTCTTTGGCAGAAAAGATGACTCGCTTATTCTCAGGGCCGGGAGGGGAGAGAAACGGACGAGAGAATGTACACCGGGTGGTTGCCTTCCAAATACGCCCGACAGGGCGCAGGGACGGAACCTGGAACCCAGGTGCATGCCCTTGACCAGGGATCGAACTCGAGATCCTTCGACCTGCAGGCTGGCGCCCTGTCCTCTGACCCACACAGGCCGGGCCGGCTGCTCATTTCTCCAGTGGCGATTTGTGGGCTGTGGCTGGGCCACAGATTTCCCGAGACCTGGTGGCTTTGGGACAAAATATCCACGTCCCCTCCCTCGTTCCCGGCGGACTCAGGTGCTCTGGCTGCTGGACAGACGGGCCCCCCACCCCCGGCCGGTGGCCAACCCTCCGGCCGTACAGTGAGGCTGAGCCCAGACCTGGCCTTGGTGACCTCCCTCTGCATGGCCACACTGCCTCTCAGTGGCGGGAGGGTGGCTTCGCAGTGACTAAACCTGCCAAGCATGAGGGGGAGGGGTGGCATGTTGTGTGTGTGTGTGTGTGTGTGTGTGTGTGTGAAAGAGAGAGAGGGGGGGGGGAGGGGGGAGGTGCAGGGAGAACCAGGGCAGGCAGGGGAGGTGAGGCAGGTGATGGAGGTGAGGGAGGGAGGGAGGGAGGGAGGGGAGGGGAGAAGACAGTGGCTTGGGCCGGGGGGTGCCGTGTGGCCCTCTAACATCTGGGCCCCGCCCCCATCCTCCGATGGGCCTGCTGCACCCGGACTCGGCCATGGCTCTCGTGGGGGACCCTCACGCTTCCTGGATGGGGGACGGGGAGGGAGGCCAGTGAGACCACCGGCTGTGACCCGATTCAGGCCAGCAGATGGGAGTCACTGCCAACGGGAATCCCCGTCCAGCAGAAAGGGCCCGGCCGGCAGGGCCCGGGGCCGAGCCTCGGCCTAGGAACCAGGAGGTCATGGGTTCGATTCCCGGTCGGGGCACAGGCCTGGGGTGTGGGCTTGATCCCAGTGTGGGGCGTGCAGGAGGCAGCTGGTCCACGATTCCCTCTCACCATGATGTTTCTCCCTTCCTCTCTGAAATAATTAAAAAAAAAAAAAAGACAACAGCCGACACAAAATAGCTGTCAGACATATAGCCATATGTGGGTCATACATTATAACCGCATCTTATTGGTCATGGTGCGGAAGGAATGAGGTTGCTTCTGATTGGTTAGTTCTTGGGACCAAAATCCTTATGTCCAAGTACAGGCATTCAATTCTTTAAAAGTCTCTTTGGGCCGAAACCAGTTTGGCTCAGTGGATAGAGCATCAGCCTGTGGTCTGAAAGGTCCCGGGTTCGATTCCGGCCAAGGGCATGTACCTTGGTTGCGGGCATATCCCCGGTGGGGGGTGTGCAAGAGGCAGCTGATGGATGATTCTCTCATTGATGTTTCTAGCTCTCTGTCCCTCTCTCTTCCTCTCTGTAAAAAAAAAATCAATAAAATATATTTTAAAAAAAAGTCTCTTTGGGGCAAAGAGGGTAGGTAATTATTATTATACTAGAGGCCCGGTGCTCCAGTGGGTGTCACAGGGTGGTCCCAGAAGGTCGTCCGGACATCATTGTGCTGTTTGGCCTTCTGGTCTAATTAGCATATCACACTTTTATTATTATAGATATTTCTGTAAATCAGTCAGAAGCTATGTTTCGTCAGATCTTACATCTCAGAGCTTCCTGTGTGCGGGAGCCGAGGAGGTTGGGGCTGGCTGTGGCTGCCTCGGGCGGGTGAGCCTCCTGGATGCCAGGCTCCCCGGCAGGGACGCTGGCTGTGGCTCAGCGCAGGCCGGGGGGCGGGGCCTCCCTCAGGGCTGGCGCCGGGGGCCCAGGTCTGTGTTTGTGACAGGCCAGCCGGCCGCCCCTCCGCAGGAGCTTCTGCAGGGACGGGGCCTCTCCAGGGAGGGGCCTCCCCTTGTGACATCAGCGGCACAGCCAGGCTGCCCCTGCCGGCCGGAGTTCTCCCTGCTGGGCCCGCGGGAGCGCCATGAGACCTGGGCTGGCGTCTGCAGAGCGAGGAATCCAGTCCTAGACACGGCCCCCGGCTGCTGGTGAGGTGGCGTGGCCTCTGTGTTCACTTACTATTGTTATTATTTCTAAAACACACGTTTATTGGTGTCAGAGAGGAGAGAGGGAGAGAGGAACATCCATGACGAGAGAGAATCACGGACCGGCTGCCTCCTGCACGCCCCCCCACTGGGAATGAGCCCGCAACCCGGGCCTGTGCCCTGACCGGGAGTCGAACCCTGACCTCCTGGCTCACAGCCACGCCTTCCGGACTGAAGTCCCTTTCAGTCCGCCGGGAGGGTCCCTGGGCGGAGGCACGGCCTCGCCCCTGACAGACAGCGTGTGGTTCGCACCCTCCTGACGGCTGGAGCCCGCACGGCCGCTGACCGCCCCTCTCCCCGCCCAGGAAACATGGTGGACTCGCCCAGGGAGGGGAAGCTGGCCCGGGCTCCGGACTTCGTCCAGCTGATCGACATGGCATCCGAGTCCGTGGGAGGCAAGGTGAGCGGTGTCTGCCAGGGAAAGGTCGGAGGTCGGAGGTCGGAGGTCGCTCGGGGGCCCCTCGCTGCGAGAAACCAGTTTGAGGTGCAGGACTGGCAGGGCCCTGGGCACCGCCCCCCTAGCAGGTGCCAGGTGCCAGGTCCGAGGCAGGTGCCAGGTGCCAGGTCCGAGGCAGGACGGCCCGGCAGGGGGCGGACGTCTGGACCTCAGGACTGTAAGTCGTGCTCGGCAAACTGAGGCTCTGAGCCAGGCGGCCCTCTGGCCCCGGAGTGTGGCTCTTCCACGAACACCTCGGCCTGGGCGAGTCTGTGCTGAAGACGTGGCGTGAGAAGAAGTTCAAGCTTAAACAATGTGGCTCTCCTAAGACATGTCGGTCGTGCTGTTGGTATGTGGCTCTGTGGGCTGGTGAGTTTGTGTAAGGTGAAGCATCCACGCCCCACCTGGCCCGCTCAGTGCCCTGCTTTGCCGGCCGGCCTGGCTCAGCGCTGGGCATCCACCTGTGAACCAGGAGGTCGCGGTTTGGCTCCCGGTCAGGGCCCAGTCCGAGTTCTTTTTATTTTTATATTTTTATTGATGTCAGAGAAGAAGGGAGGAGGAGAGAGAGAAACATCCACAATGAGAGGGAATCACTTACCGGCTGCCTCCTGCACGCCCCACCCTGGGCATCGAGCCCACAACCAGGGCCTGTGCCTCGACTGGGAATCGAACCCTGGCCGCCTGGGTCCTGGGTCCACGCTCAGCCCCAGAGCCAGCTTGCCGGGCGAGCTGCCTGTTTTGTGGGAAGTTAGTGCCGGGCGTCCAGACGGCGAAGGGGATGCAGAAGAGGGCGGGGGGAGAGGAGGGGAGGGGGAGGGGAGGCGGGGGGGGGGGAGGCAGGGGGGCGGGGGGGGGGGAGGGGGGAGACCGAGCGTCGAGGCCTAACTGCCATCATTTCTCTCCCGGGGCCATTCACGCCTCCGTTACCGGCTCCGTTACCGAGGCCGAAGGAAGCGTGTTTAACTCCGTCCTTTGTCTCTTCCTCTGTCTGCCAGATTGTGTTCGCAACAGACGACTTCTTTGCTCCTGCAGAAAACCTGATAAAGGTACTCAGCGGGAGAGGGGGAGTGGGAGGGGGAAGGGGAGGGGAGGGGGAGGGGGAAAGGGAAGGGGGAGGGGGAGGGGGAGAAGGCAGGGGGAGGAAGAGGGGGGAGGGGAGAAAGGCAGAGAGAGAAAGGAAGAGGGGACGGGGGAGGAGGAAAGGGAGAGGGTATAGGGTTAGTGTGACGGTAGGGGGAGGGGGAAGGGAAAGGGGGAGGGGGCAGGGGAGGGGAAGGGGCGGGTGGTAGGGGGGGCGGAGGGGGGGGGGGGAGGGAAAGGGAGGGGGAGGGGACGGGGGAGGGAGGGGGGAGGGGGAGGGGGCGAGATGGGGAGGGAGAGTGGGCGGGGGATAGGGGAAAGGGAGAGGGGGAGGGGGAAGGAGAGGGGAGGGGGGGGGGGGGGGGGAGGGGGAGGGGAGGGAGGGGGGAGGGGGAGGGAGGGGGAGGGTGAGGGGAGGGGGAGGGGGGAAAGGAGGGGGAGGGGGAAGGGGA